CCATGTCCTTGGGGGCTCGTCCGCGGACTGCACGGTGTAGAGTGTTTCTGCCGATGCGCCGTGCGGGCTCGGCTCTTGGCTCGACTCGTTCGCGGAGCGAGCCGTGGGCTCGGGCGTGTGGACGCTCGCCTCTGGCTGGCTCTCGTTGCCGCCGTCGTCTCCGCGCGCGCTCGCCCGCGCCGGCCTGACCCACAGCTCGTACACCGTGCTTGTCATGCACTCGTCGGGCACGACGTCCGAACAGGGCCAGCACAGGTGCGCGGACGGGTGCAGGACGAAGCCGTCGCACTCCGCCTGCCGCTCGCACTCCGCCTTGCAGTCGTCCAGCCCCAGCACCAGCGGCGCTGGCTCGTTTGTGCCGGGCTCGGGGGGGCCGAGGTGGTGCGCGCCGTTGCCACTGAAGCAGTTCAGGCCCGTGCGCACGGACCACTCCCCCCCCGGCTCTCGTGCGTCCTCGGCGGAGGTGTTCGCGAGCGCCGCGCTCCGGTTCTCCGAAGGCCGACCCTGGCTGTCGTTCCCCTGCCCCGCGGGTCTCGAGGGCGGCTTCCTGGACGTCGACGGCGGCGCTACGAGCCACGTGCTGAAGTCCGTCCCCGTGATGCAGGAGGAGGGCTCGACGTGGGCCTGCAGCCAGCAGAGCCCCGTCGCCACGTCCTGCTTCATGGTCACGCCCGTGCACGAGGCGACGGACTCGCACTCCTGACGGGGCCCTGGGACACAAAAATAAGTAGACACAACTAACAGGATTCCCCATCTTTTCCCATATTCTCTGGGTTTTTGTCTTCCCCCCCACTTCCCAGACTTTCCCATCTTTTCCTCGGGGTCGACGATCAATCGTGTCTGTGTGTTTTCTCCTCTCCCGAACTCCTTCTGGCAGTCTCCGAGGCTGCGCTCGTCGGGGAGGGGCACTGGCCGGTCCTCGACGGGCAGCCCTCCGTGGCCGACGAAGCAGTTGTAGCCCGTGTGGGCCCGCCAGGCCACCGGCCCAGGCCTGGCGTAGGTCGTGGTGGTGGTCGAGGTCGTCGGTCTGCTCGTGGTGCTCGTCGTGGTAGTCGGGTCCGCGGCCCGAGCGGAGGTGACGGTGCGCGTGATGGTGAGGGTGCTGGTGGTGGTCGAGAAGTCCGTGCGCAGCCACAGGTCGTAGCCGCTCCTCCGGGCGCACTCGCCGAGGTGGACGCTGGAAATCAGGGAGCACTGGCCCTTGTCTTTGTTGTGCTGCGTCACCACCGCTTCGCACTGGGGGTCCGCCTGGCACTTGCCAGTGCACTCCCCGATGGAGAGGTCGTTGAGCACCTCGCCGGGGCGGATGGGCGCCCCCCCGTGGGAGAGGTAGCAGTTGTGGCCCCTGTGGTAGTCCCACGCGGCGGGGTCCAGCGAGTCGCCAACTGCGGAAGCGCCAACTTTTCACCTCCACCGATCCTGGCCAGACCTGCTCTGGGCTCAGGATCGGTGCACACAGCGCCCTGGCCTCTCCAGGATGGCGCATACACCGACCCTGTGGCCCAGGATGGGCCTTGCCAAGGGATCGCTGTAAGTGTATAGTTGGCGCCCTCCGACCAACGGTGCCGACTCCGTCCCCAGGGTCTCCTGGGGGGACAGAAAGATACGCGTAGAGGAGGAGGAGGAGGAGGAGGAGGAGGAGGAGGAGGAGGAGGAGGAGGAGGAGGAGGAGGAGGAGGAGGAGGTCGAGGAGGAGGAGGAGGAGGATGAGGAGGAGGAGGCGGAGGAGGAGGAGGAGGAGGAGGAGGAGGATGATCTCTCCTTGCCTTGTGATCCCGGAGTGTCGAGGAGGATCGAGCCGTGGCGCCGAGGGCATCGGCAGCACCAGTCGGCATCGACTCGGGAACTCGCACCGAAGCAGAATGTGCATCGGACCGGGCTGCCTCGGCACCGAATCAAACTCGAACCGGACCGGGCGCGCCAGGATGCGCAGCAGCGCCGCCGCGCAGTCCTCGGGCCGCGCCGGACTCTCGGCACATCGGCATCGCATCGGAGCGCACCCGGCCGAACTCGATGCCGCATCGGATCGATCGGAGCGACACGGGCCCTGCCTCGGTGTGCGGTGGAGGCCAGTCCACGAGAAGCCTTCCACAAAAAGCCCCACCCTGAGGCCCCAGGGCGTCCCTCGGTTTTCCTGGTGCGGGGGAGCGCCGCGCTCCCCGTCGCAAGAAGGCATCGGAAGCCAAGAAACCCGGGGCACCCTGGGGGCAAGCACGGTGCTCCTTGGCATGGGCCTCCCCTGCATCTCTTCCTCCCTCTGATCTCCTGCGTAGATGACGGAGTCGGACGCCGCGCCCCAGACCGCGCGCAGCAGCGCCTGCCTGGGCACGCACCGCGCGCAGAGGGCGGCGGCGCCGCACGCGGCCAGGCCGCCGGCCGCGCCCAGGCGGCGGGCGGCCGGCAGCGCCCTGCCCACGAGGCGCGCCCCAGCCCTGTGGCAGACGAGCTCGCGCCTGGAGATGCGCCCGTCCTCCCTCGCGCACTCGTGCTCGACGCGCTCCTGTGCAGCAGTCCAATCACCACTCTCGAGCCCTGGACCCCGACCTCCTGCCGCACCTTTCCGTCCGGACCGATCTGTGAGCCCAGCGAGAACGACTGTTCCCTGACCCCGGATCCGCCGTGCTTTGGGCGATTCTGCCAGTGGGGCGGGTAATTTCCACCCTACTTTTCAGGCTCCTTGGATGCCGATTTCCGGCCTGCTTCTGCCATGCCTTTGCGGAAGTATCCGCTCCATGTTTCTGATGAGGCGGATATCTCCGCCCTACTTCTTCGCATCGCTTGGGGTGCATGTCCGACACAACTCCGAGTCAGAACATCTCAACCCCGATACGCGGATCCTGAATCAGGGCTGGGTCTCAGGGTAGCCGGGGGCGTCCAGGAGGGGGGGGGGGCGCAAATCAAGGCCCGAAGAATGTCCGCCGTCGACGGGGGCAACTCGGGGCGTATTGGCATAAGAACGGGGTGCCGTGAGATCTGGGGAGATTGCATGGCCCTGGCCATGATATCCCCCCCCCCCAGTCGTCCCCCCCCTTCCTGTACAAGAACAGCGCGCGCGCTTTCCTCCTGGGCCCCCCCCCCTCCCGCCCCCCGCCTCTTGCTATTTTCACAACGGGCGCTCCATTGGCCGTGGGCTCTCTTTGGGCGTCTGGGGCTTCTCCGCGCACCCTCGTGCACCCTCTTGGTGCTCATTACACGCCAGTCGGAAGAAGTAGGTAGAAACATGGAATAGGAAGGCGGATCAAGTAGATTGGGTTCGGGCCCGCCCAAAGAATAGCAGACAACAGCCGAACCAGATCGGTTATTGAAATAGGAAGGCGCTTGAAGTAGGCTGGGTTCTCGGAATCCAAAGATACCTGCTTTCAACGACCGATGGGTGTGGCCCCCCCCAGACTGTCCCCTTGTCCTTGCTTCGCGTGTGTTTTGTGTGTGTGTGTGTGTGTGTGTGTGTGTGTGTGTGTGTGTGTGTGTGTGTGTGTGTGTGTTGTGTGTGTGTGTGTGTGTGTGTGTGTGTGTTTGTGTGTGTGCGTGTGTGCGTGTGTGTGTGTGTGTGTGTGTGTGTGTGTGTTTGTTTTGTGTGTTTGTTTTTTTTTTGTGTGTGTGTGTGTGTGTGTGTTTTGTGTGTGTGTGTGTGTTGTGTGTGTGTGTGTGTGTTTTCCCACAGTGTGTGTTTTTGCGTCCCGAGCGCGTGAGGTCTGGGCGCTGCGGCCGCCGTGGGTGGGCGGAGGAGGGCAGGGCGGACGCCGCTGGGAGGCCTGGCAGGCCTCTGCTTGCGGCGCTGCCTGGGAGGCTCCTGCACGCCTGGGGGGCGCCGCTGGGAAGCCTGTGGAAGTCTTCGGGAAAAAACTGTTGGAAAAAAAACACACACTGTGGGGAAAAAACACACTGTGGGAAACAAAAACGCATGTGTTTTTTTCCCACAGTGTGTGTTTTTCCCACGGGTCCCTGCGGGGGGTTCTTGGGGCTTCTCTGGGGCCTCTCGGGGAGCACCCAAGGGGGGCATGTTCGCAGCCTTGGCCGCGCCCTGTCTCCCCAATTAGGGCTACTCGCGTCCCGTTTAGCTCTTGACCGGCAGGGGCCCGCTCTCGACCCGCAGATCAAAAAATGTTCGCAGCCTTGGTGGCGAGGTTTTCCCCAGGCAGCTTGCCGAGCGGGGTGCCGCTGTGGCAGAGGCTGGTGCTGGTCGAGGGACGGGCGCCCGAAGGCATCCTCGAGAACAGCTTGGCGGTCTGGGCCGTCCCGCGGGAGACATCCTCGCAACTGTCGCTTCTGAGCTGGCCTGGATTCTCGCCATCGCTCGGACGTCCATTCCGTGTGCTTTTTTCGGTTTCGTGCGTGGTTTTTTCGCCAAATGGTCAAGGATGCTCCTCGAGGGTCCTCGCCGAAGGGAAAAACGCACACGTCCGAGCGATGCCAAGGGATTGGGCGTTTCGCCGGAGACGTCCTCGCAACTCTGGGCTCCGAGATGCCGCGCGAGAGGTGGCCTGGCCTGTTTCGCCCGAGGCGTCCTCGCAACTCTGGGCTCGGAGACGCCGCGCGCGAGGGGGTACGGCCCGTTTCGCAAGCATCCTCGCAATTTTGAGCTCCGAGATGCTGCGCGAGCTGGTCCGGCGCGTTTCGCCTGAAACATCTTCTCTGAGCGCCAAGATGCTTCGCGAGAAATGGTCTGGCCCGTTTCGCCTGAGACATCTTCGCAATTCTGAGCTCCGGGATGCCGTGCGAAAAAGGGGTCTGGCCAATTTTGCCTGCGACATCCTTGCGACTCCGGGCTCCGAGATGCTGCGCGAGACGGGGTCTGGCACGTTTCGCCTGAAACATGCTCCCAACTCTCAGTTCCGAGAGGTTTTCTGGCCCGTTTCGCCTGAAAAATCCTCGCAACTCAGAGCTCCGACACGCTGCGCGCGAGGTGATCTGGCCCGTTTGGCCTGATCCTCGCAACGCTGAGCTCCGACAGGCTGCGCGCGAGGTGGGCTGGCCCGTTTCGCCTGAGACATCCTTGCAACTATGGGTTCCGAGACGCCGCGCGCGAGGTGGTCTGGCCATTTTGCCTTGCAGCTCCTCGCAACTCTGAGCTCCGACGTGCTGCGCGCGAGGTGGTCTGGCCCGTTTGGCCTGAAACATACTCGAGAACTCTGGGCTCTGAGAGGGAGGAGGGAGAAGGGTTCAGACCCAAACGAACCATTTGATTCTAGTTATGTTGTCGAATTGTGCACTGGGAATGGTCTGGACGCCGCCTGATCCGTCCTCGCATGCCGCGCGTGAGCTGGTCCAGCGCGTGTCGCCAGAGACATCTCGCAACTCTGAGCTTCGAGATGCAGCGCGTGAGCTGGTCTGGCGCGCTTCGCCAGAGACACCCTCGCAACTCTGCGCTCCGAGATGCCGTGCGAGCAAATGTTCTGGCGCGTTTCGCCTGAGACATCCTCGCAACTCTGAGCTCGGAAATGCTGCGCGAGAGGTAGTCCGGGGCATTTCGCCTGAGACATCCCCGCAACTCTGAGCTCGGAGTTGCCGCGTGCGAGGTGGTCTGGCACTTTGTGCATGAGACATCCTCCCAAGCGCCGGGTGAGAGGTGGTCCAGCGCGTTTCGCCTGGGACATCCTCGCAACTCTGGGTTCAGACATGCTGCGCGCGAGGTGGTCTAGTGATTTCCACCTGGGACATCCTTGCAACTCTGCGCTCCGAGATGCCGCGCGCGAGGCGGTACGGCCCGTTTCACCTGAGACATCCTTGCACCTCTGGGTTCCAAGACGCCGCGCGCGAGGTGGTCCTGCGCGTTTTACCTGAGACATCCTCGAAACTCTGGGCTCCGATAGGGAAAAGGGAAGAGGGGCCAGTCCCAAACGAACCATTTGATTATTCTTCTGTTGTCGAATGGTGCTCTGGGAGGGATCTGGGCGCCACCTGAGACATCCTAGCAACTCTGAGCTCCCAGATGTCGTGCACGAGGTGGTCCAGCCTGTTTCGCCTCAGATATCCTCGTAAGTTTGGGCTTCGAGATGTTCTGAGCGATGTGGTCCAGCCTCTTTCGCCTGAAACATCCTCGCGTCTGGGCGCTGTCTCTGCCAGCAGTGATGGCACTAACGAAAAGCCTTGGGTCTATGCCGAGGGCGGCTCAAGAAGGAGGCGGCCGCGGCATCGGATGACGTGGGTGCTGCATGACTGGGTCAACGTCATCAAACAGCAACCAAAACGTTTCAAGACTCTGCCGCAGACAACCGCTAAGAGAGCCCTTTTCCCCAGGAGCAGGCCTTCGAGCAAAACGTGCTGGAGAAGACGCTGCACCTCGTTAACGGCGGCGGGGCTCAGCTTGAAGATCTCTCGGGGGTTCGGGGGACGATGGAGGCCCGATTCAGTATGTTTGCTATGGATGTGGCTATCATACCCCTCATGAGAGCGTCTTGGCCATGCACTGCAGCAGACAGCACGAATCCAGGGACATGCCCGGTCTTTGGCACCAGCTGCCTCGTATGTGCGAAGGAGGTCCACACGCCCAACAGGTTACTGTCCAACCTCCATTGAGCCAGCAACTGCAGGAGCACTTGGAGAGATCATCCTGTCAGAGCTTGCCCCGAGGTAGTCCAGGAATGGAGGGAGCTTGAAAAATCATTGCAAGTGGAGACCAGGAGAAAGGGGCTGCCTGACAACCACGCGGAGTTTCCTGGCTGCAAGTTGACAAGGCATCGGTTGCACGTGGAGCAGGCTAAGACGGAGGATCGTGCCAAGATATGGTCGACCCTCAAGGCCAGCGAATTAGACAGGAGGGATGCAGAGCCTCCGAGATACGATGCTGCAGTGCCTGTTGCACTCGCGGATCGTGCCATGTTTTTGTTCCTGGCTGGCCACTGGTTGTTCAAATTCCAGATGGCCAGCGCTCTCGCCAGGAACGCCACCCGGGTGCTTGTGCTGGAGGCCGACCTGCGGGCTTGCTCTAAGTTCTGGGCCCCTCTGGCCTAGTAGAGGGCAAAAGATCCACCCCCACAATAACCACCCCGACAAGCGAGGCCGTTTACTAAACGCCCCCGCTGAAGGAACCGAACAGGGCAGGGCTTGTTAGTAAACGCCCAAGGCCGTTTAGTAAACGCCAATTGCCTGGTCCGGGTGGTTTTTCCTCTCTTGACTGGGCGGGACGGGTTTCTGATGCCTGTGTTTCCCTGAGAGGGTCCTCTTGGGGCTCTTGGCGCGGTCCCGCTCGTGCCCCCCCCTCGCCCTTCGGGAAGGCCCTCAAGACCTCATTTGAGCCTCTTGGAGGCAGGATCTCAACGAGAAAGCACGCGCTGCCGTTGGAGAAGACAAAACCAGACTCGGGCTCGAATTATTTCTGTTGCACCTTGGAGGGATGGAAGGTTCCTAGCGGTCGTCGAGTATCCGACCCATCCCGTGTTTCCCATGACCAGTCTGGATAGGGCTGACCAGGAAGGGATGGGGTCCAGTTCCGGAAGGGGGGCCATGTGTTTTCTCCTGTTGCCTTGCGCCACTGTGTGAGGACTCTCCCTGCCAGCAAGG